GGGATGGGCGGATCGATCCTTAAGTATCGATACTTTCGATACTGATGTTGTATCGAAAGGATCGATCCTCACATAAAAATATCGATTCTAAAGTGCATTTTTAACCATTAATTGTATTTATTTATCAAGAAATTTGGTGCATAAAAAGCTTCTAAGTATATTAAGCGAATAATTGTGTTGGATAGAACCATTTCTCCTGTTCATCGGAACACGCGCAGATGCTGAAAGACAGAAGCAATCAATCACAGACAGCGTTCGCTGCTGACGCATGGCTCAGTGCTTGTTAAGATAGGGCTGCGTTTCCCAAAAGCATCGCCACATTATTACATTACATTAGCCTACATAACATTGTTACTATATATATAACATTAATTCTGAAAAATGCATCACGGTTTCCACACAAATATGAAGCAGCAATAATAATAAATGTGTCTTGAGCAGCAAATGATATTAGAATGATTTCTGAAGATCATGTGTAATTATGCTGAAAATTCAGCTTTGTTCACAGATGCATTTTAAATTACATTTTAAAATATATTAAAATAGAAAATAGTTATTTTAATTGTTATATATCACAATATTGCTGCTTTTACTGTTTTTTTGTTGTTGTTTTTCAAATAAGTGCAGCCTTGGTGAGCATGAGACTTAAAAATATTACAAAATCTTACTGACCCCAAACTTTTGTGAACATGTAATATTTATTTTAAATCGGCTAGTTTGTGCAAGTAAATTTATTTAAACTGTTGTTAAAAGTTCAAATGGATTGTGTTATGTTCTGTAATTGCTGTTAATTAATAATAATAATACATTTTAGTACTTATGTAACACCATGTTTATTTCTCATGAGGTATCCTCAAAGGTGCACCTTTGTAACTTATCGAACCTTAAAACATGCATACTTGTATGACACTAATATGCTCACTTTTAGGGGTATAGTTGCACCTTTGAGGATATTGCCCCAGTAAAGGGCTAAAATACAATTATAGTATATTTTATTTCTGACAGCGTAAACAAAAAAGGCCTATGGAATGTTAAAAAACATGGCTTTAAAATCTAATATTAAGTGAGTATAATTACTGATTATACTCTTTTAATAATTTAAAAGATCAGTTTAGTTTAGAGATATCGGTATCGGTATCGATATCGGCGATACTGGGCTTGAAAATATCGGTATCGGATCAAAAATAAAATAAGAGGTATCGCCCATCCCTAAACGTGGTGATTGAGCGTCAAAGCAAAGCGTGGTTTGAACGCCCCGCCCCCGCAGCTGAACTGGAGGTTTTGATTGGTTTTGCACCCGAGTCAGACCTGTCTGTTATTGGCTGAAGCGCAGGGCTCCACCCCAGCAGGTTGAAAAGTGCCCATCAAACGCTCGCTCTGTTTCTCCATCGCCGCCGCCTTTGTCCTTTTTATTTTTTCTGTACTTTGTACTTTTGGTGAAAAATAAATGTAGCGAAGTTAAATACTTTAGTTTTATTCTACTCAAGTAAAAGTAAAAGTAAAAGTACCACAATTTAATTATATTCTAGAACGTAGAAAAACTATAAAAATGTACTCAAGTACTGTAACGAAAGTATTTGTAATGAGTTACTTTCAGACACACACACACACAGACACACACAGACACACACACACACAGACACACAGACACACTCACACACAGACACAGACACAGACACACAGACACAGACACACTCACACACAGACACAGACACAGACACACAGACACAGATACAGACTGACACAGACACAGACACAGACACACACACACACACAGACACACACACACACACACACAGACACACACAGAGCGGCGGGTGACGGTCAGTGTTTGTGAAGTGATTTCCTCACGTTCACATTCAGATGATCAGGAGCATCAGTATCTGAGAGAGATTGAATTACAGCCTCAGCTGGAGCTGCGTGCCGGATCTCACTGAAGTATTGATCAGCTTTAATTTCTGTGATAATAACACTAGAGAAACACTGTCTGATGCTCCTCTGGAACACTGTGTTACATCAGTGTTAAGTGCATCGGCAGACTATCAGTACAGAAAAAGTGTATTTTTGTCTTGTTAGCTAGCATAAATATATATATTAAAAAAACGTCTAAATCAGAATGCATGTACTGGAAAAACAAAATGACTTATGATATCAGGATTATTACAGTTTACAGCCTAAAATCTGAAATTAAAATTAAAAACATTTAAAAATTATTTAAAAATATAAAAATAAATTATATAAAACCTTATTGCAGCTAGTTTAATTTTCAGTTTAACTTGATGTACTACAATAACTAAAACTAAAATAAAAATAATAAAATGATAAAAGTTTATATAGACATATATATACATAAAACCTAAAAAGTTTACATAAAAAACTAAAAAAAAATTACAAAAACACACAACAAAATTACTAAAACTAAAATAAAAATTAAAAAGGAAAATACAAAAATAAAAATTGATTCAAAGTTTTAATAAAAACTAGAATATATTTCAATGTAAAAATACCACTGTAAGGCATTAAGTCTCATTTTCCGGGGAAAAAATAAATAAATAAAATAAAAATAAATTGAATTGTTTATTTTTCAGAACCCACTGGCAGATATTTGTTCGTTTTAAGCAAAACTCACTCTTATTTGTTTCTTTCAGAAAACGAGAATTAATATCTTCAGTCATTCTGCTTCTCCAGTGAATGTATCTTGATTTCAGAATGTTTAGATATCTGCGCTGGAACACAAGACAGAAACACTGAGGAAGAACATCATTGCTTTGCAGCGTAAAGTCTGCAGCTCGTCCACTAACACTGGAACAGATCATCTGACCAACAGATTGTCATTAAGTAATCAGAAATCACTTCTACCATAACAATAAGCAGACAGAGAACGCACTGTCCAGTTTCAGAGCCGTATATCAGGTGAACACACACACACCTGCAAGCACAAAACATGCTCATTTAATGGTCATTTTATTAAAAAACATCTGCGCACATGACTGTTAGAGTACATTAATGTGTGTGTGTGTGTGTGAGAGAGAGAGAGAGAGAGAGAGAGGGACGGAGTCTCTGTTCACAGTTTACAGCTCCGGAGGCGTTTCATTACAATGAATCTGCAGGCTTCGCTTTTGTAAACAATAAAGGTTACAGTAATGAAACACAATGAAGACATTCACCATCAAACAGCGCTGGACCTCCAGAATCACCAGAGCATGGTTCATCAGACCACGACATCACAGCTCGATGAAGCAGTAAATAAGTGCATTAGAACAGAGTTGAGCTGGAGGAGTCCGGCTCCTGAGGAATATTGCACTCGGAGTAAGGCGTCGCATCTCTCCAGCAGGTGTGAGTCACGGACACTGAGGATGAGGAAGATGAGGAAGATGAAGGCCACTGAAGGGTCCCAGTGCACAGTGTGTCAGATGACCGCCTGCGTTCATAAACAAGCAGCACTTTAATAAAGCAGCACACTGATCTTCTGCACTCAGAGATATCAGAACTAAGATATCAGTTCCAGACTCATGAACGACATTCTCTCAACTCCAGACAACACATGAGATGTGAGCGTGTCAGTCTGAGACAAACACCGATCTATAATCTATACATTATAAATGTATAATTGTACAAACATTATGGGAATGTTACTTTTGAACGTTCTGAAACAAGTAGTAACATTTAAAAACGGCTTGAAGACAGTCTGATAAACCGCTCGTTCAGCTGCACACTGTGTGAGGGGTTATTCTAACGCTTATGAATAACTTCGGTGTGTTTAATATGTTCCTGGATTAGTATCAGTGAAAAGGGGCTGTTAAAAACATATTTGTCTTTGAGTCATTCATTCAAGAGATTCATTCAAAAACACTGATTCGTCCAGCAATGAAACTAAATCTTGAGTGAGTCATTGAATCATTCCATTCATTAATTCCATCAGATTTTTACTTGTCTTATATTTTTTTCTTCAGAATTGTGAGAGAACCACAACCTCCATTTATAAAAAATCCAGAATCGTGCGGCTCTATTTTGCACACAAACAGCTCTTAATCGAGACAGTTTTTATGCAGCCGGCTGATTTGTGTTCATGGAATTCAGCAGCAATTAAATGTTTTGCAAAAAGAGAGACAGAATAAATATGTTACAGTTCATTTTTTAACCGCACTGAAATCGAAACTGGGAACTGATAAGAATCCGAATCGATAAGCAGAATCGGAATTGATAAAATTCAAATGATATTAATAAAAATAAAAGTTTGAGTTAATTTTTTTAAACCACATTGGAATCGAAACTGTGAATCAATAAGAATCGGAATTGATAAAATTCAAACGATACCCAGCCCTACCCTGATAACACAAGTACATCACGGAGACGTCTATTTGACATCTGCTTTACATCTGCAAGACGTATTTTTAGGGCATTTTCTCATCTGCAATACATCTATTGTATGTTTCCTATCAGATGTCAAATAGACGTCTATTAGATGTCTTTAAGATGTTTATGATTTAGAAAGTATGTAAAACTGACATCTGAAAGAGGTCTAGCAGATGCTTTCCAGATCAAGCTATCTTTAACAGACCTCTTGCAGACGTGCGTGTGCTGTCTGGGGAACGATAACGGGACTCACCCGGTCAAACGGCAGCGCGGTCATGTGACAACAACAGCGCAACTTTTCGTTAACGCTCGCGCTCAGCGGATGCCGTTCGGCGTGAACGCACCGTCCAGGTCGTCGTCGTCGTCGTCATCGTCGTCGCCGCCCCGCGACAGCTGCGAGATCCGGTCGAGCGTCTCGTCCACCACGTTCGGGATGATGTTGACGCACGCGCTCGCCGCCTCCCGGTTGTAGGACACGAGCTCGTTGCTGACGTTCGCCGTCTCCACCGGAGTCCGGCAGCGGCAGCGCAGCAGGCTGGAGAAGCCCCTGCGGAACTCGGCGTTGAAGGCGTAGATGACGGGGTTGAGCGACGAGTTGCTCCAGCCGAACCACACGAACACGTCGAAGGTGGTGTCGCTGACGCACGGCTCGCGGCGGCAGAACGGAACCACGCAGTTGAGCACGAAGAACGGCAGCCAGCAGCACACGAACACGCCCATGATCACTGACAGCGTCTTCAGGACTTTGGTCTCGCGCTGGAACGACGTCTTGAGGCTTCGGTGGAGGCTCCGGTCGGACCGGCGGCTCTGCGCGTGCTCCGCCGCGCGCTCCAGCGACGCGATCCTCCGGATCTGGACCTGCGCGATCCGGTAGATGCGCGTGTAAGTGACGATCATGATCGCCACGGGAATGTAGAAGCTGATGAGGGACGAGGAGATGGCGTACTCGCGGCTCAGGCTCGAGTCGCAGCTGTCCACGTCGGACGCGTTGGGCTCCGCGGCGCCCGCGTCGGCTTTGTGCCAGTCCAGCTGCACCGGGATGAACGAGACGAGCACGGACAGCGTCCACGCCGCGCCGATCATCACGAAAGCGACGCGCGGCGTCATCTTGCGCTCGTAGCGGAACGGGCTGCTGATGGCCCAGTAGCGGTCCACGCTGATCACGCACAGGTTCAGGATGGACGCGGTGGAGCACATGATGTCAAACGCCACCCAGACGTCGCAGAACGCGCCGAACGGCCAGAAGCCGGCCACCTCCGCCGCCGCCTTCCACGGCATCACGAGCACGGCCACCAGCAGGTCCGACACGGCCAGCGACGCGATGAAGACGTGCGTGACTTTGGCGCGCAGGTGGCGGAAGCGCAGCACGGCGGCGCACACCAGAGCGTTCCCGAGCAGCGTCCAGAGGATCAGCGCGCACAGCAGGCAGCCGGTCAGCGCGCGCGCCAGCGTCCCCCGAGGCTCGGTTCGGGCGCGCATGCTGGGTCATCGGGTGCGTGCGCTCGCGCCGGCTCCGGTACCGAGGCGCGTCGCATGACCGAGGAGCGAATCCGGTGTTTGCGCACGGCGGCTGTCTGAACTCTCTGAGTGCGAGGGAACTGTGCATGGCTATTTTGAGAGAGAGAGAGAGAGAGAGAGAGAGAGAGAGATTCAGTCTGGATATGCACTGAATGAATAAAAGGAACCGCTGCATATTTACATGATTGTCACGCTTGTAATCGAACAACTCATTGATGTGTACAACTCAATAATTACATTAGCTTTTGCATGGTTTGTATTTCATAATTTCAAGTTCATTTGTTCAAGTTATCTGGTAACCCATTAAATATAACGCAGGTAGACGAGATGTGCATGCAGCTCATTCACAATCAGATTTATAGAGATTGTTAATGGGTTTTTTTGTAACTTTATTTTAAGGTGTCCTTGTTACACATGTTACATGTACTTACTATTATAATAACAATAAACTATGCATAATTACATGCAAGTAGCCCTAACAATATAGTAAGTACACGTAGTTTAATTCAGATTACTCAGTACTTAAATGTATAATTACACTGTAACAAGGACACCTTAAAATAAAGTGTAACCTTTTTGAACTTAACAGATTTATTTCAAATGAATTAACAGCGGGCTTTCTTTGTGACAACATGCCCCGCCAATGTTAACGCGTTCAGGTGTAAATGTCAGTGAGCAGATGTCAACAACACACGGCTTCATAATCATAATGATGATCCATTGCATTCATTATTTGCAGCACGCACAGATTTTTTTTTTAACGAAGGACACGCACAAAAATGAACATCTGAAACGACACAAATAAGAGTGCAAGAATGAGGAGGTTTAAAAGAGTTCTTCAGACAGCGACTGTGCATCGATTCTCTCATAGCAGAGTTCAGTTCAGGATTTCCCTTGAAGATTGATTCATTCACACAGGCTCAGAAATCCTCAATGAAAGCAGGATGAGAGTATAAATGCGTCTGTAGCGCCACCTACAGTAAACAGAGGATCAGAACAATCACTGCAGTTCCAGTCAAAGACACGAGCAGTGCAACACATCAGTCAGAAAAGCTCAGAAAGTCACACGGTTTTGTGGTGTTCCTCAGGGCTCCATTCTGGCTCCGACTCTTTTTATGTTATATACTACCTTTGGGTTTGATTTTGAAGAAATATGGAATTTCATTCCATTTAATATGCTGATGATCTACAGTTGTATCTTCCTTTTAAACCAAATGGAAATAATGCACTAGGAGCTGGTTGCCTGTAAAATTGAGAGTTGAATTTAAAATATTAATTTTGTTAGTTTTTAAACCGCTCAATATTCTTGCACCGATTTGTTGATTGAGCTTTTTCTGCTGTTTCTGGGCCAACTCTTTGGAACGATCTCCCTGTTGCTATCCGAACAGCACCTTCTCTATCTAAACATGCATACACCAAATGATTGCTTCTTGGGAAGCTAAATCACATTAGATATTTGAGGAGGAGAACGGCACACTGTTTCCCTGTTTAATACTGTAAAGATGCTTTGACACAATCTGCATTGTAAAAAGTGTTGAATAAATAACGGTGACTTGACTTGATATTTAGTCTTGGTTTCCCTTAAAACAAAATTCAAAATTAAGCTTTCGCTTAAAACAAAACAAAATATCAGAAAAATAATCCTGTTTTCCCTTTGAATTAAGTAGATTTTTCTGACCCCATTGGCAGATTTCTTTTTTGTCTTGTTTTAAGCATAAACTCACGTTTTTTGGATCCACATTTGGATGACTTTTTCAGAAAACGAACGCGTTAGTATCATAAGTCGTTTTGATTCTTGAGTAAATCTGTCTTGATGAATATTTAGGTATCTGTACTGGAAAACAAGACAGAAATATTGCAGTAAGAAGGTTATTTTTTGCAGTGCACTGTTTATATGGCTTTATATGACTTGTGTGAACGATGATGAAGGAACTAGCTTTAAAGAAAGTCAACGGAGCTCAAGTTGATTTCATGATTCAAAGAAGCCACTGGACTCTTTACATCCAAGAATATTTTTATTTATCTGAAGTTAACATACATGTGTTCATTTGGGGGGAAAGTGCAAAACAAAAACGAGGTTTGCACCACAGGTCTTATTGTTGTGCGTTTCACTGTGTGTTTGGGAGCAGAGGAGTTCAAAAAGAGAAGAAAGGCTGATGATAAAGTCACATCTGCTGAAGAGCCGCTCTACAGAAACATCTACATCTGAGCGTTTCACATCGTTTCTCCATCACAGCTCCTGAACTGACTGAGAACATCCCATAATCACAGTCACCAGAAGTGTGTGTTTGTGTGTGTCCTGTGTGTTTGTGATGCTGATGTTGTCCAGACGAGAACATCTGCACTTCAGACCAAAACAAACCATCAGCCTCCTGAAGAAGAATAATGGATCCGAGTCAGAATCCCATTAAATCCAGAAACCTCATTTCTCTCCAGCGGCGGAGCGTTTCAAGCCCTTTTTTGAAAACCATTGCACACAGAAATCTTCAGGACTGAGGAAACACGTTACCAAGAGGAATGCAGATCGTCATGTTTCAAAACGTATATGCAACAGATAATGTGCTATAAATGCATGTCTGAATAGAGCTACACGATCTGAAGATCATCATGAAATATAATTCGTGTGTCACTGCTCGTTTGTTTTAAGTTTCGAGTTTGTGAGATTCGTGACATCAGCAGGTCTTCATGCAAGAGTTTAAGCCAGACTTGAGTTTTACGTGCAATGAATACACCTGTGCTTTTATGATCAAAGTTATGCTTCTGAAACACTGCAAAGGCTGAGGTTCCTCCTCAGTGCTGTTTTCCAGTACAAATATCTAAATTATATCAAGAAACATTTACTGGAGAAGCACAGTGACTGATATCAAGTCTTGTTTTCTGAAAAACTGATCAAAATCAAGCGAGTTAATGATTAAATCAAGAACAAAAAATTAACTTAATTCAAAGGGGAATAATAATAAGATTATTCTTCTGACTACATTGGCAGAAGAAATTCAAGACTTAATATCTTAACTAATTTCCCTTTCCAAGTAAATGCATCTTGATTTGAGAATGTTTAGATATTTGTACTGAAAAACAAAACAAGAAAGTTGTTTTTTGCTGGATCAGCTGATTTGATCAGATTCAAATCACAACTAGTTTGGTGGTTTTACTCCATTTCTCCTTCATTTAGATGAGCATTTGCATATTTAAACGATTCAAAACTACAGTATGCACCATATGTTTGTTCAATGGCCTGCAAGATTCAAGGATTTTCCAATCAGACGTTGTACTAAAAACATTCAAGATTTAAACCCACTTGAGAACTTGATATAAGAGAACATCATCCTGTGTGTGTGTGTGTGTGTGTGTGTGCATGCGTG